GGCTAGGGATTCGAACCCGCCACCTTAGGTGTATGTGGCTGGCGCCTTAGCCACTTGAGCCACAGGCGCCAAGCCCTGAATTAGTTTTTGATAAAGTGTCAGATATGGCTAAAGGTTCATTTCTTTTCTTTTTCCATGTAGATATCCAGTTATTCTAGCACCAGTTATTGAAACTGGACAATAGAAGTGTAGGTCTATTTCTGAATCTTATTCTGTTCCATTGGGCTTTATGCTACTATCCCTTACTATCTTTATAACTGTAATTTTACAGCAAATCTTGAAAGCAGGTAATGATAGGCCTAGTGGGCCTAGGCTAAGACAGAAAGGTATCAGACCTAGGCTATAATGGAAAAATACCAGTTAATTCCTAGCAATTTTTTTTTTTTTGCAGTTTTTGGCTGGGGCTGGGTTTGAACCCACCACCTCCAGTATATGGGGCCGGCGCCCTACTCCTTTGAGCTACAGCTGCCGCCCCCAATTCCTAGCAAATTTCCAGACTGCATGCTTTCAAATAAAATGAAATAAGTCAAGTTCATTCCCAAGATAAATGAGAAAGTAATAATTGATTTCTTGCTTCTAGTTCATTCCCAGTTTCTTGCTTGGCTAACTCCCTGGAAAACAGACCAGGAGGTGCCAACTGTTCCCAGACTGACTTTTAAACAATACCTGGTAGGGAGAATATGGAAAACAAGATGTACAAGGGGAAAATACTAAAACAAAGATGGGGTGCGGTGCCTGTAGCTCAAGTGGCTAGGGTGCCAGACACATACACTGGAGCTGGCGGGTTCAAATCCAGCCTGGGCCCACCAAACAACAATGGCAAGTGCAACAACAAATAATAGCTGGGCGTTTGTGGTAGGTGCCTGTAGTCCCACCTACTTGGGATGCTGAGGCAAGAGAATCGCTTAAGCCCAAGAATTTCAGGTTGCTGTGAGATGTGACTTTACCCAGGGTGACAGCTTGAGACTCTGTCTCAAAACAAACAAATAAACAAACAAACAAAACAAAAAACAAAGATGAATGATGCATGGCTAACTAACAACAAAATTCTGCTTCTGTACAATGCTAGCCTGCTACCCTGCCCAGATGCACCTGGACAGCCTGTGTGCCAACCAGGATGCAGACTAAGCCTCAAAAACCCAACTCCTTAAGCACTCGGGGCTGCTCTCAGAAACCCCATGTTGGGACGCTGAGGCAGTCACCGACCGGCTCTTCAGTAAAAAGACTCTGCTGTAAATTTGGCTTATTTGGCAGTGTGGTCTCTGTGGAACTCCTGGGCACAATAGTAACAATATATTACAGCTTTGTTCTTTGTCAAGACTATTTTGGCTATGTGAGGTCCTTTGAATTTCCATATAAATTTAAAATCAGCTTATTAATATCCATTAAAAAGTAAGTGGACTAGCCAGGCACAGTGGCTCATGCCTATAATCCTAGCACTCTGGGAGGCCAAGATGGGAGGATCCCTTGAGCTTGGGGGCTCCAGACCAGCTTGAGCAAGAATGAGACACTGTCTCTACTAAAAATAGAAAAATCAGCAACAGAGTGAGACTATATTTTAAAAAAAACAAACAAACAAACCTGGGAGCAGTGGCTCATGCCTGTAATCCTAGCAATCTGGTAGGCTGAGGCGGGTGGATCACTTGAGCCTAGGAGTTCAAGACCAGCCTGAGCAAGAATGAGACCCCATCTCTACTAAAAATGAAAAACTGAGGCACGCGGATCACTTGAGCCTAAGAGTTTGAGGGTGCTGTGAACTATAATGTCCCAAGAGTTTGAGGTTGCTATGAGCTATGACGCCAAAGCACTCTACTAAGGGCCAAAAAGTGAGACTCTATCTCAGAAAAATAAAAATAAATAAAAAATTAAAAGTCAGTGGACTTTTGATTGGGACTGTAATTTGGGGAGAATAACCATGTTAACAATAGCGAGTGTTCCAATCTATGAACACGGTCTATCTCTCCACTCACTTAGATCATTTATAATTTTTTCCAGCAATGTTTCACATAGTGTTCAGTGTAGATGTCTTTCACATCTTTTATTAAATTAATACCTAATTATTATGTTTTGATACTATGGGAATTAGAAAACTTTATTTTTTAACTGTTACTAATATGTAAAAACAATTTATTTTTAGATATTTATCTTGTATCCTGCATCCTCATTAAATTCAATGATTATTGCTACAGTATTTTTGGTTGATTCCTTAGGTCTCACTCTGTTGCCCTGGCTAGAGTGCCATGGCGTCAGCCTCGCTCACAGCAACCTCCAACTCCTGGGTTCAAGCAATCCTCCTGGATGCCCTTACCTCAGTGGTTAGCGTATCAGCCCTGTGCACCAGAAGTGGTGGGTTCAAATCTGGCCCAGGCCTACTAAACAAACAAACAAAAAAAGCAATCTTCCTGCCTCAGCTTCCTGAGTAGCTGGGACTACAGGCAGCTATCACAATGCCCTATTAATTTTTCTATTTTTAGCAGAGACAAGGTATCACTCTTGTTCAGGCTGGTCTCAAACTCCTGAGTTCAAGTGATCCACCTGCCTCAGCCTCCCAGGGTACTGAGATTACAGGTATGAGCTACCACACCCAGTTGCTTCTTCCTGATATTTATGCCTCTTATTTAATTTTATTACCTTACTGCACTGAGGAGGACCTCCAGTACAATGTTTACTAGAAGTGGTAAGAGCTGAAAATTGGAAGAAAGCATTAATATTTCACTATTAAGTTCAGGTGTGGTGGCTCGCCCCTGCAATCCTAGCACTGTGGGAAGCTGAGGCGAGTAGATTACTTGAGTTCAGGAATTTGAGACTAGCCTGAGCAAAAGAGAGACTCCGTCTCTACTAAAAATGTAAAAACTAGCTGGAAGTTGTGGCTGGCACCTGTAGTCCTAGCTACTGGGGAGGCTGAGGCAAGAGGATTGTCTGAGCCCAAGACTTTGAGGTTTCTGTGAGCTATGACACCACAGCACTCTATGGAGGGCAACAAAAGCAAGACTCTGTCTCAAAAAAAAAAAAAAAATTTTTTTTTTACTATTAGCTATAAGTTTTAGGCTGAGAAAATTCCCTTTGTTCTTAATTTGATGAGAATTCTTACTAAAAATGGGTGCTAAAATTCATCAAATGCTTTTTCTACATGCATTGACATGAACATACAGACTTTTGTCTTTATTCTGTGTGAATTAGATCAATTTTTTTGAATGTTTAACTAACCTTGCACTTGTAAGATAAATTTAAATCAGATGTATACACAGAGTGTAATACAAATGCCAATAAACTTGATAAGAACAGAAGAACAAAAGAGTGTCACTAACACTTTACTATGGGATTTCACCTCAGGCTTCACATTAGGTTCTCTAGGTACTTACACGTCCATATGATGACCAGCACTCTGCAGTCCATCACCCATTTCTTTTTCTATGGCACTCCATTCACTGGAAGAAAAAGATAAAACTAAAAGCATTATGAATTAGAGCTATGGAGTGTTATCATTAATATCATTTTTAGAAACAGTGTCTCACCCTGTCACTCCAGCTCATTGTAGCCTTTAGCTCCTGAACTCAAATGAAGCATCCTCTTGCCTTAGCTACCAAACTAGCTAGTTTGTTTTTTTCTGTAGAGACAGGGTCTTGCTATATTGCCCAGGCTGGTCTTGAACTCCTAGTCTCAAGCAGTCCTCCACCCTCAGCTTCTCAAAGTGCTAAGATTACAGGTGTGAGCCATGGTGCCCAGCCTGGAATATTACTAAATGTACTCTTCTCAAGCCTCTTTTCTACCTAACTTTTAAATAATGTACCCTCATTTAGATTTATTTTCTGTGACTCTAATTTGCTATGTTCCCCTTTAGTTTAACAACTGAATGTAAGTAAAGTTTTCAAAAGTTGATACCTATCTCTAAGGTTAAGTATTATACAAAACAGATTCTGCATGTAGATACTCTACTAGTTAGGATCCCTATTCATTCATTTATTCATTTATTTATTTATTTTTTGAGAAAGAGCCTCAAGCTGTGCCCCTGGGTAGAGTGCCGTGGCATCACAGCTCACAGTAACCTCCAACTCCTGGGCTCAAGCAAGTCTCCTGCCTCAGCCTCCCAAGTAGCTGGGACCACAGGCACTCACCACAACACATGGCTATTTTTTTTGGTTACAGCCATCATTGTTGTTTGGCGGGCCCGGGCTGGATTTGAACCCACCACCTTAGGTGCATGTGGCTGGCGCCTTAGCTACTTGAGCCACAGGTGCCAAGCCTCAAGCAATCCTCTTGCCTCAGTTTTTCAATAGAGATGAGGGTCTCACTTTTACTCAGGCTTGACTTGAACCTGTGAGCTCAAGCTATCCACCTGCCGTGGCCTCCCAGAGTGCTAGGATTACAGGCATGAGTCACCTTGCCTGGCCAACTGCAAAGCTTTTAAAAAAGTATAGAAGCTGGGTAGTACCTGTGGCTTAGTAAGTAGGGTGCCAGCCCCATATACTGAGGGCAGTGGGTACAAACCTGGCCCCACCAAATTCGAACAAAAAAAATAGCTGGGTATTGTGGTGGGCACCTGTAGTCTCAGCGACTCAGAAGGCTGAGGCAAAAGAATTGCCTAAGCTCAAGAATCGGAGGTTGCTGTGAGCTGTGATGCCATGGCATGGTACTGAGGGCGACAAAGTAAGACTGTCTTTAAAAAAAAGAAAACTAGCCCTACTTGATTCACTTATATTAGAATCTGTAGGGATAGGGCTAATGCATGTATATTTTTAAACATGTACTCTATGGATGGTTCTAATGAACACAACTGATGACACGCAATTGTTCTGATAGCTAACAGAAAAGACAACTGTACAGTACAGGTGCACAAAAAAACTTCAGTAGTAATTTGCACATTGCATAAGAAAGCCTTCTGGAACTACAGACCATTTTGTTGTCATTTCTAGGAAATGCTTCTCAAAGAAATGCTTTTTTTT